AATGTCACCAAACCTCAAGAGAATCATGAGAGAAGTGAAGCCGGATGGATCAGAGGATCACATCCCAAACCCACATCAGAGTGCCAAGAGGGGGGACAAAGGGCATTCGGCCACTGCAAAGGCTTTGAAGCCAAGAAAGGCCATCCACCTTCCCCACACGGAGAAGGAAACCAGCATTCCCTATGATGTAGTGCAGACTGGAAATATAAATAGCTTCTAAAAAGGTTAGCAAAATGCACAGATGACAAATCTACATTAGGTTACTAAGGGAAACCAGGATGCTCAGTGCCAGCATCTCACCTGTTGCAGCTGATGTCTGGAAGGAACCCTGGGGCTCCTCCCAAACTCTGCTCCCGGGGCCCCTCAGGGATGCAGAGTCAGGCTGCAGGGACCTGGAGCCTGGGTGATGTGAGTGGGTACTTCCTGAGCCCTAATGATGCTCCCTGCAGGCCCCTGCAAAGTAAGGAAAACCTTTTTCCTAATTCCATCTTGGTCTGGTTCTCATAAGCCCACTCACTCTCAATTTCCTCACCTGGGAAGAGTCTACCTCGGAAGGTTTTGTGAGGATGCCTGCCTGAAGGTGGGAGGCGTTCTATGAGTGGAAATACCCTGGGCTTACCCCTCCCCCCTCCTGTTAAACTAGGCCCTTGGGTGCTGCAGGGCAATCCCAGGCTGCCTCCCTGGAGATTCCCTTCTGGAGGGGAAGTGCTTCCTTGGGCACCCAGAGGGCCTGCAAGGCAGCCACAGCTGCTGGGCTATGTCAAGTAAGAAACAGACCTCGCTTGTCCCTGAACCAACACCAGGGGACACCTGAGTTAAGGTATTTATAGCTCTCTTATATGCATCCTTGAACTTGTGTGTGTTTAAGTTAACAGATATAGCAACAGCACACCCAAAAGCACACATATGGACTTGTACACACTGAGGCAGTGGCTAAATCTGGAACTCTAGGGAACCCAAACTCACCCCCAACACACCCTCCTGTGTGTGGGTATTCCGGGACCTGGGATAAACTGGGCATCCGTCCTTCCCTCTTCAGGGTATCAAGTTCTGCCTTCCTGCCAAGGATTAAGAGATCAGCCTGGAGCCCGCACCTCGAGAGCAGCTTGCCAGGCAGCTCCCGCTGACTCGTCTGCCAGAGCCAGAGCTCTTCTCACTTCCCCTGAGCTCCAAACAGTGCAGAGTCAGGAGGGAAAATCTCACCCCTCCAGCACCTCCCTGAGCAGACACTGGGGCTGCTGCAGAGCCGACCCTGAAGCCCTGAATGCCAGGCAAGAAAAGAGAAGAACTGCAGAGGCCCAGACCGGAAGCCGGACCCCTCCAGCAGGCCACAGGGAGAAGGAAGGAGCGCCTTCAACTTCCACTCTGAAATGCTTGGCAGTAAAATGCTGGGCTGCTCCTGGGCCACCAGGGGCTTGGCCAAGAGAGGCGGGCTTCCCTTTGGCCTAATGCTAGTGTGTCGGGGGTGTGGAGGGATGTGCCCAGGCAGAGAACGTGATGGGACTCAGAACGTGATGCCCGACACATTCACATTCACTATATGTTCTCTCTCTCTCTGCCAATAGCAGCGGAGGTTAAGGGGGAAGCAGCCTACTCCGGAAGGCAAGAAGTTATCTACTACAGTCTTCTCTTGAAGTTCCGTAATATGTTCTTTAATATATAAATTGGGCCATTGGATACCTATGGCTTTGAACTCAACTGGGGTCAAAGAGGGGACCCAAGAGTAAGCACACAGACTAGAAGTTCCAACCCAAGGGAGATGTGCTGTTGTTCAAATACAGTGAGCGCCCAAGTGCACGAGTGAACTTTTTAAAGTGCTGTGAGCTTCTCCCTCATCCCACCTTACCTCCCAAAGTAGAATCGACTGAAACCTACATACCCCACTTGGTTCTCAAATTTTATGCCGAACACTTCATTTTTCTAAGAGTTTCTCTTACATCACTGGGGATGCAGGTTGTGATCAAGAAAGGAAACCATCTTGACACAACGGGGCATTTAGAGCAGGGAGCACTTGACCGTGTCCATGGGTCCAGTGATGGGGACCGTGGCAATCACGAAGTACAAAGCTAGCATCATACCTCCGCTAAAAAGCCTCTACGATCTGGCATCCTAGTAGAATTTCTATCAACTCCAAGTACAATACACGGTCCTCTTCCACGTGTGACCCCTTCCCCCTATAGAACTGCCCACAGTGGAGCACAATAATTTCTCATATTTATTACACATCTACTATTACAAACGAAGAAACAGTGTCAGCTGCTTTTATATACATTAAACAATTTAAGCCGACCTATAACACTGCAGTGCAGATTCTAATTAACCACATTTTTACTAGATCACAGAGAAGGTTAATAATACAGCTAGAATAGAATCACAGGACCAGTACAGCAAGGTGGAGATCTGGGCCCAAGCTTATTTGGTTCCAAAGCCCATGGGCTTTCCTCTGCTGCCCATCAGACCTGAGAATTTCTCTATATATGTATATGCATGTGAATGTGTTTCTTTATCATTATTATTATTGTAAGATTAATCGGTTACCAATTCATAGAGGCACGAGGTCTTAATGACCAAGTACAACACAGGAATCTCCTACATATCACACATTGCATCTAATTCAGACACTTCCACCTACGCTGTCCTCAGACATGGCAGATCCCTATCTTAAATTTATTCTTTTGTACCCCTCTGGTGTTTAGTGCAGTGCTAGGTACAAAGTGGGCACTCATTTAATCTCACTGATGATTATGTTGCTAAGATTGCTTATTAGTAATAAACCCTTGGATGCTGAAAGGTGAATTATTGCTAACTAAGAAAAGTCTTAGACGCTGGGAGAAACACCAAGGGGGCCTAACATACCTCTTGGCCAATAGAGTAAGTGATCCACCATTGGATAAAAACAGTAATATCTGACTCTCACTAATAGGTTGATCCCACTTAGAAAATAGCTTACAATCTCCACTGAAAACAGCACTTGACTCTTTGGACCTGGGTTTTCTCCTCTGCAGGGGTGGCATACAACCCCCACTCAGAGAATGACTGTGAAGATTCCAGGGACCATGTCTACAGAGACACAAGCAACCCAATCAACCCAGGTGGCACCTCAGCACCTCCCATGACTTCCTCTGTATATAACTGCCTCAAACTATGGCAGATTCAGACCCATGTCCTAATCCCAGCAACATCCCTCCGTAGCTGTGACTTTAGATCAGCAGCCTAGCTTCTCTGAGCCCTAGTTTCCTCATCTGCAAAGATGGAGGCTCACCTATCTCATGGGGTTGTTTAGTGGAGAAAATAAAATAATATTTGCATGTGGCTGCCCCAGGCCTGATATGTAGAAGGAAGTCAGTAGATATTAGCCAGATTTGAATCTGCACAGAACAGCTCTGACATACACACGTCCTGTTGAATAGGGCTCGTGGTCAAAACATGGCCATGGTGACAAGTAACAAAGAAAAAGGAAGAGGCAGTAGTGAGAGAAGTTAAAATGAGAGACGATTCTTAACCTCTCTCCTTTCAAACAATTTCAACCTGCTGTTTACCAGGTTGTACTTCTTAACAGTCTTATTTGATTGAATGGGTTCTGCCTCTTGCCCTCCATACCGTCTGGTAATGACAGAAGGAGTAACTACAAGGCAGCTAATGAAAAGGGGCCCTGGAAAGCTAAGAACTCATTGTACTAACCTGGTTCAGTTTGGTCAAAGTGGGCGGCCTCAGGCACCTGGTGCCTAGTGCTCTGCCAGTGGTTTCTCTATTCTCAGAGGCTCCTCTAATTTCACAGTATAGAAACCAGAGGCCACATCGAGATGCCCCCCAACAAGACATTCTTCAGAATCTAACCTGGTACTACAATTCTGAAATCCAAATCTACAAGGGTTACAAAGAAAAGCTCCTCTTTATTGACCTAATGTGTGCCTAGTGTGTGCCAGACTCAGTGCTAAGCATCCAGCATATAATATATGCCCAGGGGAATGGTCTGAATTTTTTAAACCCCGTCTTACAGATAAGGAAACTGTACTACTGGACATCCCCTAAAGACACTGTCCAAGGCCCTCAGCCGCTCACATGTTCTCAAGGACTCAAGTCTGGATGACACGTGGAAACTTCCGCCCAAATTTTCAGGTCTAATCACAGGGCTGGATTTTGCAAAACTTCATCAAACAAATCATCTTAGGCCCACAGCAAAAGTGGGTTTGGGAAGAGGGTGGAGCTGGGACAGAGACAGAGAGGAGACCTTAATGCTTCAGAAGTCACCTCTAATTTGCAAATAATGGTCGGAGGGTGCATTTTCTTTCTGCACAATAATCTCTACCAAAGAAAACCCAGACAAAGTCACCTGGCCTTCCTAGGGAACAACAAAAAACAGCTCTTCCTCCAAGATTCACACTGAACTCCTAACCCCTCCTTCCCCTCCCTGCCCCTGGGAGTGGCTGGATGGTTGTTGTTTCTTTTCTTTTTTCCCTGTGGTCCTCTGGTAATACCACAAATTACGTTTTCAGGGACTGGAGTCCCAGAGTGCAATGATGTTGTAATAAACATAACCAGGACCAAATGCCTTCCCATCATATTAGATGATGCCATTTCCCACCAATCAGGCTCCTCGGGCAGGCAGACCACTCACCAATGAGGGACCAGACAAAGGCTGTGAGGGGAGACCTGGTCATCTGCAACTAAAAATAAGAGTGCTTCAGGATTGGCCGCTGCCACTTTGCAACAGGAGTTGGGACCCACACACCAGGCACCAGACAGAAGGCACACACAGGCAGAAACTTTCAGCCCAGGGGTTCACATGGGGTAGGCTGGTCTGGGTTTGTTGCTGAGATTTTTTTTTTTTCCTTTCCCTAATTTGGTGACTTGAAGAAAGAAATACTTGATCCAGAGGGACCCTTGCAGACACACCCTCCCTCCTAGACACGTCAGTTTCCAAAGGCCCTTCATAGACACCCTGAATTGGGGAAAGAGCGGGGTGGGGGGGGGGTGCGGCCAGGGGCCAAGACACTCACCTGTCCGGCTGTGTCATAGAGTCCCAGGAGGTACTGCTTGCCCCCTACGGTGACGCTGACTGCAAGGGCAGAGAAGTGGGGGCGGGGAGAGAAGCTCACAATCATCTAGGCTCTGGGGCAGTTTCGTTCCCCACCAGGACCCTTCCCTCCTAACCCAGCTGGAGGCAAGCGGGAGCTCCCAGGGAGATGCCACCCGTTTTCCCTTGTGCCCGGCTCACTGTGAAGTGGCGTGAGGCTGGGGCGATGTGGCGCCCAGCTGCCCACTCCTTTCTCCCAAGTCCCGTAGCCACGTTTCCCCCTCGGGGATTGGGGCAATAGGGAAGGCGGCTGTAGGAAGGTCAAGGAGGTCGGCCCCGGGCGCCGAGGGGGATGGGAAATGCCGGGCGCCAGGACCGGGCACCGGAGTTGGGGTGTGGGAAGAGGGCTGGGTCCGGAATGCTAGGGGCTGCCAGAGGGAAAGCCTGGGGGTGGGGCCGGGCGCCCGGCGGAGGGCGCGACGGGGGAGGGGTGGGGAGCGCGCGCAGGGGAGGCGGTGAGGGGGCTCAGCCAAAGTTGCTCCAAAGTTCCCAGCCCGGGGAGCGGCCCCTTAGTCAGCACTTCCGAGGCTTACCTGCGTAGTGGTCGAAGACGGTGGGCACGTACTCCTCCGGGAAGGCGTCGTTGGCATAGCTCATGAGTAGGCACGTCTTGCCCACCGCCCCGTCGCCGACCACCACGCACTTGAGCATCAGCGCGCCGGGCCCATGAGCCACGCTGCGGCCGGCCGGCCTCCGGACATGGTCCCCCCCGGAGCCCCCGCCCCGGCCCTGGGCTCAGCCCCTGCCCGCCTGGGGGGTCCGCCGCCGCCGCCGCTCAGCGCAGCACGGCCGACCCCCCGGCCCCATGCAGCGACTCCCCCCGCCTGAGGGGAGGGGGCGGCGGGCCCGGGGCGCTGCCGCCGCCTCGGTCGCTGCCCGGATCCCCGCCCGGGCCCCGGTTGCCGCGCCCGCCCGCTGCCCCCGCCGCTCGGCGCTCGCGCCCGCTCCCCGGCCCGGCCTCCCCAGGAGGATCCGCTGGATCATAAGACTGGCCGGCCCCGGGGGAGACGGCAACTTTGGGGAGGGCGGCGGAGGGGAGGGGCCAGGCGGCTCTCCCCGCCCAGCGCCGGCCCGGGCCCCCACCCGGCTCGGCCCCGGAGGAGGGCGGGCCCAGGCGCCTCCCCGGATTGCGGGCTGCCGGCTCCGCGCCCCCGCCCGCCCGCCTGCCGGCTCCCGCGCCCCCAGCCCCGCGCCCCGCCCGCGGACGCCGCTCGGCCCTGCCGGCTCACCCTAGCTTGACTCCCCGCGAGGGCTGTGGGGAGGGGGCGAGGAGGAGGAGCCGAGGAGGAGCGACGGGGAGGAAGGTGAGACTGGGGGAGGGGGCCGAGCGACCAGCGCTCGCGAGGAGGCGAGGGCTCCTCGCGAAAGTGTGCGCAACGCCCGGAAGCGTCCACAAGCTCCGATGCTGGGAGAAGACGTGGAGGCCTCTTGGGGAACCGCGACGACTCTTATGATGACGCAATAGTCATGAAAAATTATTCACGTATATTTAAACTCCACCCGGAAGGCAGGATCCATTCTGTCGGCCTCTAAGTGCACAACAGAACTAGAAATCGGGAAGGAAGAAAGGGCAAGAGAGTTAAAAATTTTTCTTTAATTTTTAAAAAATTTTCACTCTCACGCACGGGGTGATGGGGGAGGGGTGGCGGTGGTCCCTGAGCTGGAAAGTGGGGACCCCTGGCTTACTGCTCCGTTCCGCCTCCCACCATCCCCACCACCCCATGCTGTTCACGGCAGAGCTTGAGTCATTTACTACGAAACTGGTGTCTAAGGGAGTTACAGCATCTTGAACCACTGACGCACCCCCCGCACCAGCCAGAAAAGGGAGATTCTGCGACTCTGGCTGCGGCGGGGTGTACCTTTGCTCCCCCTATAGGCGACATTCCCTGAGGCACCTTTACAGTCCCAGTGTCCCTCGAAGGTGTTAGTTTGTGATCCCTGAGGAGTGATACACTCTAGAGCTCTAAGACGCGGCCTGTGATCCAGGCAACAACCCCTGTCCTCCTGCCTGGGCGGTGCTTGGAAACACCCGTCAGGCCAGGTCCCGTTCACTCGCCATCAGTGCTGCTTCTAACTTTAGGCCCTGGGGCCGGGGGGGTGGGGGGTGGGGGTGGGGGTGGGGGTGGGGGAGAATACTCTGCACGTAGACACCACACCCTCCCTCCCCTTGCTGACAGGAGATAAATCGCTTCCTTTCATCAATTCACAGGATCAGAAAATGCTGTGTTGAAAGGCACCGCAGAGGTCAACTGGACCACCTCCCTTAGATCTCCCTGAGGTTGTAGGTAAGCAAATTGAGACTCAGAGAGGTGAAGTGGTTATGTCAAAGGCTTCCAGCTAATTCCAGCATTCAAGGACTTGGAACACACTTTGGGAAATGCTCAGTTAGTTATGTCCTCACGCCACACTTCCCAGGCCTCAACTCTCAAACCCCAAATCTGATTTCCATTGTCCTGCAAGACTTCCTGGATTCTTGGAAGTTCCTTGTGGAGTCCCACTGGACGTCTCACCAGATCCCTCCATTTGTGTCTGAGTGTGGGTATTTACATTGCCAGCTGCTTTAGGTTATGCAGTGAATCTGGAAGATATTTTTTATGTGCTGAGTGACAGGTTAAGGAAGGCAGTTCAGTGCCTTGAAGTCAGATCTTGGTTCAAGACTAGTCTCTGCCACTTCCTTCTAGAGGGGAAGAAAGGAGGACTTGCCCCCTTTGCCTACAGGACTATTTCTTCAGACAGCATTTGCTGGGACTGGGAATGTGAAAGGAGGGTCTGTCAGCAGAGGTTAAGGAGCTACCGGGTGCACTCACCCTAGAGAGGGCATTTGGTTCTGGCTCTGACAGTACTTAGCAGTGTGACCTTGAGCATGCCACTTCTGTTCTTGGGGCCTCTGATTTCTCATCTATAAAAGTGAGCTCATCCATAAGGGTGAGATCAGGGCTCACCTTTGAGGACGCTAGGGCTCTTCACAGTGTGTCCTGAGAGATCCTGGCAAAAGCTTTGGGCCAAGGGAGAAACAGTTGCTAGAGACATGGGGACAGCCTTTTTGAGGGATAACGAGGTCTGTCCCAGGACTGGAGGATGGAGGCTTCCCCCATTGAGGACTCCAGCCTCTCAGTTCTCATGCTGCTTTTCAGTGAGGCAGATATTTGCCAGGGATCCAGAGAGCTGGAGGATTAGCTCTGGAACCTTGAAAAATGGAAGGGACTCCAGGTTCTGGATGCTTTGGGAGAAGCTCTGGGAATATCAGAACACTCCAAGTGCGGAACTGCTGTCAGATGAATCATGCAGTGGTGACTTCATTGATGATGGTGACCTCATCCCTTTGGCCCATAGAAAAGCCAAGACTGACTGCCAGGAGTACTTTGAGCTCTGGACTGATTCCACCAGTTGAATGTAGAGTAGGAGGGAGATGGGAGAATTATCCTGGATGCCCAGTCAGCCCAATGATGGATTAGCTGGAAGAACCAAACAGATCTCAACAAATAATTCCTATATAATGTGATCAGTGCTGTGGTAGAGGATAAAGAACAGTCTTCGGGAAGCGCAGGGAGGCTGTTAGTACCTACGTGTGCTGAGGATTTGCAGAAGGGTGTCATTGGCCTGGGGGTTAAGAGGCCAGTAGGAGTAAGATAAGAATGCCTAGGAAAGACAGCCCTGCCCCCCAGCAAGAAGGAACAGCACACGACTTCTTGGGAATGGTGAGCCATGTAGGTGGACAGAATGCAGGATTAGTGGTGCAGGGGAACTGGTTTGTATGTAATTGAGAACTGTGTGATGCTGCCAGGCCATGGGCCTCCGGAAGCCACGTTAAGGGCATGCAGGGCCCCACCCGGGCATGCAGGGCTCCACTAGAACCTTGAAGAATGGAAGAGACTCACAGGATATTCGTGAGTTCCTATTTCTGGTTATCCCTGGGACCCTGTCATACCTACTGGTCTTCAGTTAGTCACTTGATTTAACGAGTCCCCCTTCCCTTTTTGCCTAGTGGGTGTGGGTTGGTTTTCTGGTAACCAAAGGAATCTTTACTATGTTAGTATTATCACTACAGCTGAGATAGGTGATGTGCAGCGAAATTCAGAAATTTGCCCAAAGTCATGCAGTTGGTAAGTGGCAGAGCTAGCTTTCAAAATGATCAGTCTTCTGAGCTCATGCTACTTTCCATGTTCCACATGAAGGAGGCATTAAAAGTTTTTCAGTAGGAAATGACAAGTTTAGAGCTGTCTTTTGAGAAGATCACTCTGGGAGTGGTGTTAGAACATGGATTTAGAGGGGACGAGAGTGAAGGCAGATAAGGTGAGGAGAGAGGTCACGAAGGTCTGAACCAGGCATGGCTGTGTAAATGAAGAGGAGGCCATGGGTAGCAGGATATTTTGGGGGTTTTTTTGGCTGTGTTGGGTCTTCATTTCTGTGCGAGGGCTTTCTCTAGTTGTGGCAAGCGGTGGGGGTGGGGCCACTCTTCATCGTGGTGCGCAGGCCTCTCACTATCGCAGCCTCTCTTGTTGCGGAGCACAGGCTCCAGACGCGCAGGCTCAGTAGATGTGGCTCACGGGCCCAGCCGCTCTGTGGCATGTGGGATCTTCCCAGACCAGGGCTCGAACCCCTGTCCCCTGCATTAGCAGGCAGATTCTCAACCACTGCACCGCCAGGGAAGCCCAGGATATTTTAATTAATTAATTTTTGGCTGCATTGGGTCTTTGTTGCTGTGCGTGGGCTTTCTCTAGTTGCGGTAAGCGGGGGCTACTCTTCGTTGTGGTGTGCGGGCTTCTCATTGCAGTGGCTTCTTTTGTTGCAGAGCATGGGCTCTAGGCACATGGGCTCAGTAGTTGTGGCTCACAGGCTTAGTTGCTCCGTGGCATGTGAGATCTTCCAGGACCAGGACCAGGGCTCGAACCCGTGTCCCCTGCATTGGCAGGTGGATTCTTAATTGCTGTGCCACCAGGGAAGTCCCTAGCAGGATATTTAGATGACCAAGTCCACAGGGCTTGGTAACAGCATGGGGAAGGGCTAGGATACCTCTGAGGCGTTACCCATTGACATATGATACCATTGATGTATTCCTTCTCTCCATTCCTTTTTAATCTCCTCTGTTTTTATCCTCCTTATTTTAGTTTTCTTCCTTACTTTTAAAAACATTCCCATCTCCTCTTGGTGCCTAACCATGAGACCAACTGCCTAAATCAAGCTGATAGTAGATCTCTAGAAGGACATTAAGTTTCTGTCATTTTGTTTGTGTTCCCTCACATTCACCCCCAAAATGGAAAACTGGATGCCAGTGGATCATTTGATGTCATAATGCTTTGGGTTGCAAGTAATAGGAAAGTCAACCCAAACTGGCTTCAACAGCAAAGGGAGTATATGGGCTTCTTTGACTGAAACATACAGAAGTAACTAAGCTTCGGGCATGGCTTGATCAAAACTCTGGATCTATTTTTTTCTTCACTTCTCTCAGTTTTTCTCTTCTCTTTGGGCCAACTTCCTACTTTGGTTGCTTTCTCTCTTGAAAACAAAATGGTTGTACCAGGTCCAGGCATTACCACCCATATACCACACTGCCCAGGAGGAGAAAGAGCTTCTCTTGACTCACTGATTGCGCAAAAGTCTTGGACTTTCTCTGATCAGATTAGCTGAGTTCATTATGATGGCCAGCAGAATGTCAGATGCTTGTTGCCTTAGGCCTGGGCTATTGGCCATCCCTGAAACCA